GGGTTCCCAACGGCCCCCGACTGTTACTTTGTGGTGGAGCGACAGGGCAGGTTGAGACCACCTAGGCGAGAGGTGGGCCTGGCCCTGGTCGGCGTTTGCGGTTGCTTCATAATAACACGCTCAACGAGATCTTGGTATTTGATCTGAGTCTGGCCACTGGCCTATACGCACTAACCAACTACGTGGGAAAGATATGGGCACTCGACGTCGTGGTATCAGCCGAAGCCTTCTAGACGTCAGCGACTGAGCGGCGCACGCCTGATTGGACCGCGTAACGTGACTTCCTTTGTAATGGAGGTTGCTAGGTCTGCTTCCGGCCGCCCTCGCAACATGCAGGTGTGCAATGGGCGATGGGCCCAGACCCCTGCGCCATAGGAGTTAGACCGGCGTGCTGACCTCTCTCTTAGGCCTAGGTGGGGCTGCGACGTGTTGATCTTCCGAGGCCGGGCATGACCCAGGAAAGTGTGTCCGGCCAAATGGGATCGAGCGTGTTGGGTTATGTGGTGCACCCTTGCAGGGAAGTTTATCTATTCGAATAGCCGTGTCCCTCGGTAAAAGGACGACCCGGAGTTGTACCTTGACCTTATGACAACTAGAACCGGATACTTAATAAAACACACCCAGACAAGTTCCACAGACAACTCAGTGATCGCTTTTTCACAGGGCGACGAGGGGAGGATCGCTGGGTAGGATTATGCTATGCGATACTACTTGGAGGACTTCAACCACTCTCTTCTACATGCTGCAAGACGGAGGCTGCCAGAAGTGTAGTCTTCGACAGGATTAGCTATCCCCCTCTTATTCTGGCATTCTGCAGTTCAGTCCACCGATATGGCCCTTTACACATATACCCATGCATATGTAGTGTAGTTCCTTGCTTGCGAGTACTTTGGATGAGTACTCACGGTTGCTTTTCTCCCTCTTTTCCCCCTTTCCCTTCTACCTGGTTGTCGCAACCAGATGCTGGAGCCCAGAAGCCAGACGCCACCGTTGACAACGACTCCTACTACATTGGAGGTGCCTACTACTATGTGCAGGCTGCTGACGACGACCATTAGTAGTTTAGGAGGATCCCAGACAGGAGGCCTGCGCCTCTTTCGATCTGTATCCCAGTTTGTGCTAGCCTTCTTAAGGCAAACTTGTTTAACTTATGTCTGTACTCAGATATTGTTGCTTCCGCTGACTTGTTTATGTCGAGCACTTGTATTCGAGCCCTCGAGGCCCCTGGCTTGTAATATGATGCTTATATGACTTGTTTTACTTTTAGAGTTGTGTTGTGATATCTTCCCGTGAGTCCCTGATCTTGATCGTACACGTTTGCGTGCATGATTAGTGTACGATTGAATCGGGGGTGTCACAGTTACACCGCTGCATAGAGGAGGGAAGAGTTGGTGATGAAAGCGATGAAGTTGTTGGTGTATATCGCAGTGATGATGATGGCCCCCGGCGGCGTTCCGGCGCCACCGAAAGCAAGGGGGGGAGAGCCCCCCTTCTTCTTCTTCTTCTTCCTTGACCTTCTCCCTAGATGGGAGAAGGGTTTCCCCTCTGGTCCTTGGCTCCCATGGCGTGGGAGGGGCGAGAGCCCCCTCCGAGATTGGATCTGTCTCCCTGTCTCTCTCTATTTCTGCGTTTTCAGATTCTGCCCTTTCACCATTTCTTATATATCCCGAGATCCGTAACTCCGATTGGATTGAAACCTTTGCCCAGATTTTTCTCCGAAAATTAGCTTTCTTGCGGTAAAAGAAGAGCGTCAACCGCCTTACGGGGTGCCCACGAGGGTCAGGGGCGCCCCCTGCCTCGTGGCCCCCTCGGGCACCGTCTCACGTTGATTTTTCTTCCAGAAAATCATAAATATTCCAAAAATATTCTCCGTCCGTTTTTATCCCGTTTGGACTCGTTTGATATAGGGTTTCTGCGAAACATAAAACATGCAACAAACAGGAACTGGCACCAGGCACTGGATCAATATGTTAGTCCCAAAAATAGTATAAAAAGTTGCCAAAAGTATATGAAAGTTGTAGAATATTAACATGGAACAATCAAAAATTATAGATACAGCGGAGACGTATCATGCCCAAACCCAGCTTGGCTGAGGCCTCCATACGGAGTCAAAGACAAACATCATGCCCCAATCCCCATCATACCCATGGATCAACGTGCCGACTCTGCAACTACATCATGTCGATCGATGATGCTAGTTGTTTGGAGTAAGTATCATATATTAATATTTAATGTGCGCATATACATTATTATTATTCTTACCATCCAATTTTTAGGAAGGAATGTGTCCGGAGTTCGAAACTCCGTTCAATGGGTTTAAGTCTTAAGCAACTTCAGGGCATACTTAACATGGAGCAGCCTATGAAGATTGATTGTTTCAACACCGTCGTACGTATACTGGCATGTGACGAGGGAGTATTGTAGACCCTTCTATGCATTACATGGATCTAAGATTTTGTGTAAGTTATCATAACTCTTCATTATGCGTGTCGTTAGTATCAACATGTTGAAACGATATTTCTTTTTTTACTTAGTCCATGATGCTAGAGTTAACACGAGGTCAAAAGTCCCACGAGAAGAAAACTATTCAGATGTTGGGAACATTATTTGATAGCTGGCCTGGGATGGACAACAACATTTCATCGTGCAACATGGTAAGTAAGGTATTTTGTCTATTGTTGTTTCTAATAGCTACCACTTGTAGATTTATCTTTCTTATGCATCCATCAGTCGATACATTTTGTATGTCTCGACAAAGAGGCACGTCGTGTACATATTATGGACCCTATTCGTACATCACAGTCGTCAGAGGATAAAAATCTGAGGTATGTAGTGAAACTAAAAAGTTTTGCGAGGGAATTCAAAGAAGCACTCAAAATAAAGCAGCCCGGTTGGAATTTTGATATATCTAAATGGCGACGTTTATTTCCGTTTGGTATTCCAACAAGCATAGTCCGGTAATAAATTCATAATAAAACATTTATTTTTGTTATGACTATATTTTTTATATTATTAAATTTAGAAATTTGCAGGGATGTGTCTGGCTATTTTGTTTTTCATTTTATGCTCCGGTGGAACGGTAAATAACTGGTCAAACCAGTTTGCGCGATTAGTATTGTCTGTTACACGTTTTAAGACCTTCAACATGAAATATTCATACTAACTACATATATTGTTTGTGAAGGATGTGTATGAGTTGAGGAAGCACTTTTTATTATACTTGCTAAAACATCGTGAGAATGAAGCTAAAGGCAACTTTTCTGATATTGTGCAAGAATTTCTTAAGCTCATCAAGTATATCTTAATAACTTTGTAATAGATGTTTAGTTGGAACATCGCTCAGTTTGTTACACGGACATGTCATTATTTTTCTTTTCGTTATCAATTTACATTGCAAGTGAAGTGAACTTCAATTATTAATTAATTGTGACCGTGTTATATTGTCTGTACGTGTGAATTTTAACATGCATTATCTTATATAACTCTTGCAAAATATTTCAAGAGCCTGTGGCAACGCACGGGCAATCTATTATATAAACAGGATGCAACTCACATTGTACCATGCAAATTAAGCAAAAGACAACAATTCTAACATTGTACGGAATGCATCAAGTAAATCTTAGTTTGTAAGAGATAATTAGTTGGATCATTGCTTTGCTCTATGTGCACATCATTGAGTTAGATTTTCTATATTAACTTACATCCCAAGTGAAGTGAATTTCAATTACTTTTTGATTGATTGTTACGGGCTATCATTTATATACATACAAAATTGGCGTGCATTATGTTTATATATGCAATGGGCAAAAAAGTTCCATGGCCCGTGGCAGCACACGGGCATTCTACTACTTGATCTGCTATTGCAGAGTTTGGGGGAGAGGAGGGGGGATTTAACAGGTTTTAGACTTTGGGAAGAATTTGATCCACGAGGGATTGAATCATTTACCCCACTTTACATGGGGTTTGATAATTTGTCCCATACTTGTCTTAATGGTAAGTGGCCCTAGCCTCACCCGTCATTCTCGAGGGCGGGGGCAAATCAAAGTTAGAAGAAAAATGAGGCAAAAGATCCAATATCTCAGATAACGGGAAAAGTATACTTTCCTCACTTTTTTTTGCACCACACATGCTTAGTTTTTTTTTGAGGTGAACTAGGGATTTTATTAATCAACCAAAGTTGCCGGAATACAAGTAATATCTGGTAGGTTCCCTAGCCACACGTGGCGCCCAAAAGGGAGAGACGAGACTGCCTTTGCCAAGGCATGAGCCTCATAGTTTGCCTCTCTATTTTCAAAACGAAAACTAACTCTAGCAAAGTTCATAGCTCTAGCTTTAATCTCCTGAATTACAAAAACATAAGAAGAAGAGAGCGAAGTTCCGTTGATATCTGTAACAACCTGCATGCAATCCGAGGCTATTATCGCATGTGTCACGAGAAGATCTTGAGCCAAGGCAAGCGCCTCATTGCACGCTTGAGCTTCCAAACTTGGGGCGTTCGCCATCAAAAACCACCGCGGAAGCTCCCAAATAGTTGCCCTCCTTGTCCCGGCAAATCGCAGCGGCTGCACCAGTTTCACCTTGGCGAGAGATGACACCGTCCACATTGATCACAGGCTTAGTTGGGCTTTATATATGCAGCCAACAAACGTTCCCTTTGGGCTGGTCGTTTCACTTCCACGGCCCATAAGAAAGAAGAAAATCTTAACTACTCCGCAAACATACACGAGCTGGCCCAGCCACTCGAGGCACTCAGCTAGTAGCGAAGGCGAAGCAGGCGGCGGCGTATCGAGCGACTGCGGCGCATCGAGCGACTGCGGCGGCGCGGAGCCGGTGACGGAGTAGGCGAGGGGCAGCGAGGTCGATCCGCGAACTCGACGTGCCGTTATCCGCGGAGGGGTGCGTCAACAGCACATGACCTGCTGAAAACCCTAGCGCGAGCAGCGGAAAGGAAGGGGAGGAAGGAACTCCGATCTCCCGGCCGAGACCACCGCGGCGCCACCATGAAGCTGACGGTGAAGACTCTCAAGGGCACCCACTTCGAGATCCGGGTCCAGCACAATGACACCGTGAGATTCCCCCCGCCCGCTCCCCTCGTTTAGTTTCAAATCTCCCCGACTTTTTTTTAATTCAAACAGGCCCCGTGTTCTTCGCTGGATGCACAGCTTCACGGCGATTTTGTTTCGGAAGTTCTCTAGCATTTCGATTAAACCAGATGATGCGACGGTGAAGTAGATGTTAGGGACATGTGGTTATGCGTTACGGAAGGGATTAGCTTGTTAGATTTGGGTGTGCTACTGCTGATTAGGGGTTATTGCCGAGGTGTTGGCCTCTGAATTTGAATGTACTCGTGAGTGCTCTGGATCGTCTTAGGGGAAGAACAGTGCGGGTGAGTTTGCAGGAAGGATGGTGAGCGTGTTGTTGTAGGCAGACTGTTTAAAAAAAATATTGGCAGACGATTTTTGGCAGTATTCCAAATGGACATGATTGGTAGACGCATGATGCTGTGGATATGCTGTGCTAATAGCTTGTTCCGGGGGTTGTGGTTTTGGCCTTTTGGGAGGATGGAAAGCTGGAGTTGGCGAGGATTTAGGTCCATGGCAATTGGCAAGTGATCTTCATGACCCAGGGTTCAGTTTGGGGTCGCAAGGTTGAGTTTCAGGAGTGCCATTGCCCATCGCCATTCTTTCCCATCTGCAGTAACCATGTCCTTTGAAAGCCTTGTTATCCACTGTTCTTCCCCACCTGTGTCCCTTTGCCATGAGGAGTGCACTTCTTTCCAAACTGTTTTTTGATGATAGGCTGATAGCAGAATATATTTTGTAAAGATATACTATCTATGTTCTTTTTGACTTGATGACCTAGGATCTGCGGCTGCAAAGTTTAACTCCCGACAGTTCTAAAACTATATAGGTTTATATATAATAAATACATGTGAGGTTTGCTGTTAATTTTTTTTCAGAGTATTATACTCGATGTATAGTTGTATTTTTTTCCCGGTTAACTCAGCTAGCTGAGTTTTAGTTTGGTCTCATTCACGTAGTGGACCATCTGGTTTTTTGGCACCGTGATTCGTGCAGACCCTGTAAGCGTTCGGCTGTGAGTAAGCTATTTATGTTTCTTTAGGGTACATAAGCTATTTCTGTGGTGTGACGCGCAGCCTGTGCAGCCTTTGCTGGTTGTTGGACATCGGCTGGGGTGCAACCCAATAGATTTTTGTGCTTTGACTTTTCCGGTTTTTTTTACGGAATGTGTTGTTGTTATTCAAAGTGAACCAATTAGTATGTGTTTTCTTCTTTTTTTGCATACGTTTTTTGGGGCTTCACTTGTTTCTTTTTTGCCCTACGTTTTGCGTCACTTATTCATGTGCAATTGCAACCGCTGCAGCATAAATGCAATTAATGTGGTTTTTTTTTTATATTTTTACTACTAGTTGCATGTGCGCGAGTTGCACGCAATGCACTTATGGGTAATTGTAATCATGTTGCAATTACAAGTATTTTAAGTTCGGCTGTAATCGCAAGTTTTCAAGTTCGGTCTTATTTGCAAGTTTTCAAACGGGGTCGCAACTGCAAGTATTTTCAGTCAGGTCACAACTGTAAGTCTTCAAATTAGGCCGCAATTGCAAGTTTCCAAGTGGGGTCGCAACTATAAGTTTTTCAAGTTGGGTCGCAACTGCAAGTTTTCAAGTGAGACACAACTGCAAGTCAGGTCGCAACTGCAGGTTTTTTAAATTGGGTTGCAACTGCAAGTTTTCAAGTGAGATCGCAACTGCAAGTCGGGTCGCAACAGCAAGTTTTTAAATGAGGTCGCAATTGCAAGTTCTCAAGTGGGGGCGCAACTGCAAGTTTTCAAGTCCGTCCGCGACTGCAAGTTTCAAATGAGATCGAACTGCAAGTTTTCAAGTCGGGTCGCAACTGCAAGTTTTCAAATGAGGCCGCAAACTCGCAATTGCAAGTTTCAAGTGGGGTCGCAACTGCACGTTTTCATGTCGGGTCGCAACTGCACGTTTTCAAATGAGGTCGCAACTGCATGTTTCCAAATAGGGATGACAACAGCATTTCTCGAGTAGGGCCACAACTTTTTAAAAAATTTCTGCCATTTTTTTCTAAAATATTTTTAGGGTCGATTTTCCCTTCCTAACGCGTCTCCTTTTTTCAACCCAAAATCACGTGATGACAAGCCCATGCAGTACATAGCAGATAGAAATCTATCCCAACCCAGCAACAAAAGGTGACGAATTGGCCTGCCAATGAAAAGGCTAGAATAACAAATAGGCGATGTCGGCTGAGGTGAATGAGGCCAAACTATAACTCATCTAAATGAGTTCTAGGGACTCCTTTTTTTTGTCAAAGTAGCATCTCGAAGACCTTTTAACTATGAATAGTAAAAAAAAATGTCAGTGGGAGTAATTACTTCAATATCATGCTAACTGTTTGCTTTGAATCAGATTATGGCTGTCAAGAAGAACATTGAAGAGATTCAAGGAAAGGATAGTTATCCGTGGGGTCAACAACTGCTGATTCACAATGGCAAGGTTTTGAAGGATGAAAGCACATTGGATGAAAATCAAGTTAGCGAAGATGGATTTCTAGTTGTCATGCTTAGTAAGGTAGGCTGGTTATGCCCTATACAGTATGGATAGTTTCAGTTTTGTCATATGCTATTGGATTATTTCCACTGACTGAATACTTGGTGTAATAGTTGTAATAACATGAATTATTAATGATTGCAGAACTAGCATAAGCGGTTATACGTGAAAATTAAGTTCAGATATGACACCTGACAGTTACTATTCACTAATGAAGAATATGCCTGAAATACTTTTTTGCCTTATTTGATGCGCCACAATTTGCAGGCCTCCTGCCATAGTTCATCTATATTGCTCCTTCCTATGTTACAGTTGTGCTGTACAATGTCCATTTATATCAACATTAAATAAAGTACTTGACACTTACAACACTATTTTAACATTATTCAAGTTTTTCCTACTTTATGCGTCGGGCTTGTTCTTCTTCTCTTAAAATTAGAAGTATAGCTATTTACTTATATTTTGCAGAGTAAAGCTTCTGCTTCCAGTGGAGCTTCATCTGCCCAGGTAAAATTCTTCTTTTGCGGATGAAAACACAATAGTAGCAAGCATATGTACTGACACATGAACCATTACTAGCCTTCAAGCACTCCTGTTACCAGTCAAGCACCTCCAGTTGCTCAACCACAAGCTCCTCAGCCCCAGTGAGTCCCTTTCTAGCGTCCTGGTTGCATTTTACTGCATGCACATAGGGTCTTGCTCAAATCAAATGTGTGCATCATCTTTCTGCAGGGTCCCATCAACTACGACTTCTCAGCCTGAAAGACCATCCGTGGAGTATGTTCGAAGTCTGCCAGTTGATATTTGCATTAGGGTCTTTTTTACCACTTAAATTTTATGTTTCTGCATGTATCCCTCCCAAGGGAAAACCGGTGTTCTTTACTTTCAGAGGCACGTCCTTCTGATGCTTGTTTCAGCTTTAAATCATGCAGTGTTGCATAAATGACCTCATAGCCGCAAAAGTTCATTTTGAAGAGTGACAACAAACACAAGTTGATGCATCAACTAATAGATTGCAGTTTGCGAGGAGAGTGAAAAGTATATTTTTTAACTTATCCGTGAACATGTAACATGAGTCAATAGGGTTCAAATCAGCAACTTCCTGACTTGAGCACAATGGTCAATGAACATCAAAACTAGATATTAAGTTTGAAGCACTGATATTATAATTACTCCCTCTATTCCCTTATACAAGGCCACTATGGAAAATAAGTTTTGCATCTATACAAGGCAACTAACATTAATCGAGGTAAAAATTAATGATGTTTCCTCGTAGTAGCAACTTATTTAATACTTGCATGCATGTAGTCATAATGACACTGTGTTATTTCCTTCTCATTCCTTCCTTGCATGCATGTGGGCATATTAATGATCCCGGTTAATGAGAAGAAAAGTTAGCTTGCAAAGCAGTCATTAAATTTTACCTTGGTACCTGTAATCTGAGTTTGTGGCCTTGTATAAGGGAATGGAGGGAGTAGGTGAATTTCTGGAGTGCATGAAAATCAAAAGCCATTGAAACAGCAATTTGCATAGCTGGGTAATGGGAAGTTAGGCCCCAACATGGAATTTTTGGGATTGCTGTAACTGCATGGAGTATAGATCTGAAATGGTTGTATAATAGTAGCATTGCATGATCCTACAATCTCCCTCGCAGTCTTGGTCGTGTGAATATGAACCAAACCATTTCCCTTTAAACTTACTAGTTCTGCTATGTTAAACTCTTGTTTCTTTTTTGTTAGGACCCCTTCAAGTACAGTTGATCTTGCAGCATCGGATTTACTGTCAGGAAGCAATCTGGACACAATGATTAACCAGATAATGGAGATGGGGGGTGGCAGTTGGGACAGAGATAAGGTCCAAAGAGCTCTCCGTGCTGCTTATAACAATCCAGAACGTGCCATTGACTATCTGTACTCTGTGCGTATCTCTCCCCATCTGAATTTTGAATTTGGATTGATTTTCTGATGCTATAGTTGATATTTTTGTTTTCTCAAACATTAGGGTATTCCAGTGACAGCCGAAGTTGCTGTTCCGGTGGTTGGTCAAGGGGCAAACACCACTGATGCAGCTCCTGGAGAAACCGGCTTCTCTGGAATCCCAAACACAGCACCATTAGATCTTTTCCCACAGGTTTACTTTCCACCTTTGTCTGTGTAGTGCTGGTGCGGTGTTGCTTCTTTGAGTATCTTTTGACTAATTGAATGATGTAACAGGGGGCTTCCCATGCTGGAGGTGCTGCTGGGGGTGGATCACTTGATTTTCTTAGAAATAACCAACAGGTTCTTATCTTTATGTTTTGTCAGTTACTTGTCTCCTTTTTGTTTTCTATGATCTCTCTGATAGAGAAAAAAAGAGGCACGGAACAATGGTGCACATGGGATCAAGCCAACCATTCTGTTTATTACTGTCATTGCCCGTCAAACTATCCGATGATTTAATGTACTAGGAACAGAGATGACACGTGTGTGAAATGTGTACTTATAATTTGATGTTGTGATGGTAGCCAGTACTTCTTGTGTCATGTGAATGCTGGTAGTTTGTGCACTCAAATCTATACTCTCTCCATCTCAAAATATGAGACATACATTAATTTGTTAAGACAAGGTGTTTACCAAAATACTACTTTGTTAGTATGTGGTTTATGTGAGATAAAATTGATGTCATTAGATTTGTATTAAAAAAGTTATGATTGCGATTTTATATATGTAGACAACATTAATTGAGTAACTATTGATAAAAATCTCCTCTTAACAATTCAAAATATGCTAGACATGTAGGGACAGAGGAAGTATCATTTATGCTTAACATTTAACTTGACGAGTTTATGTGGATTACTTGTAGATATGTTTAAGTATGTGGAAAGTAGAATTCTGTGGTAGGAGCATATACCGTGTTCAGTATAATTTGTTCTTTGTACAAGTGAGTGCTGTGGTGGAAGCAGTTATTAGTTGGTCCATCACGCAACGCTGTAGGATACACATGTTTATTGTTACTTGGGATGCTTTTGTGCATAATGTTGGGATAGGAAAGTATTATCCTGCGCGTATCATTGCATTTGCATTCCGAACGAATTGTCATTTTCTATGTATATACACTAAAAGTATGCAATGCTCCATTTAGTAGAGTATTAGTGATTAATGTAGTTTGATCGAATGAACCTCCTGTCAGTACCCTACCATGTGTTATTCTAATTTTGAAGTAGTAGTGCACTGCTAATTTGCAATTATGATTTGCAGTTTCAAGCGCTTCGGGAAATGGTCCATACAAATCCACAAATTTTACAGGTTTTCTATCAATGGCTTGTTTATGCTATGCTCACCTTCATTCTCTGTCTAAACTTTTTGCTGGTATTTCGCTACAGCCTATGCTCCAGGAATTGAGCAAGCAGAATCCTCAACTTCTGAGGTTGATTCAGGAGAACAATGATGAGTTCCTTCAGTTACTAAATGAGACATTTGATGGCGGCGATGGGTACGTTTCTTTATTTGCTGAATTTATATATTGTCTCATTTAAATATGCTATAGAATTCATAGTACTAATTTTGCTTTCTTAGTTATATACTGGAATCTCATCAATCTGTTATATCTGCTCACTGTCACTTGCCAGGTGGTTAGATTTTGTGGCAGGTGGTTTTGCCATTTTGTTTGACTTCATCCTATCTTCTCAACCTATTGCTGTCAATTTTGTTTTGGTTCAGTTCATACCAGTAACTGGTAATAAATGTTTTTTAGGCTTGTGTTGTTTCAAGTATAGCATATACTGCTAGTATAGTTTTTCTTCTGGGAGCTGCTAATATAGTTTCTGAACATAACATGATAAGCTAGCATAAAGTGGTACCTTAAAAGAACTTGTGTGTGTGCTATATAAAAATATCTATTAGCTGCTGCTGCATCCTTTCCCCTGTACTTCGTGCTTTCAACCAATCATGATGCTTCATTCTCACAATCTTTTCAATTTTAGTAGAGTCTACAATGATATATCTACTAAACCATACTTGTCGGACATTTCCAGGGACTTTTTAGATCAGGCTGACCAGGATGAGATGCCTCATGCTATCAGTGTAACACCAGAAGAGCAAGAGGCAATTGGGAGGGTATGCCTCATAATTACCTTAACTGGCCTCTGGCTGCATAAATACACCATGCATCTCACTTATTCACCTTGTTTGATTGGATTTGTTTTTGCTCTTCAGCTGGAAGCCATGGGGTTTGAGAGAGCACGTGTCATCGAAGCATTCTTCGCCTGCGACAGGAATGAGCAACTCGCTGCAAACTATCTTCTTGAGCATGCTGGTGACGAAGAATAGAGAAAATTTAGTTCACATTGGGCCAGAGTTCTTCCTCGATGTCTTGGCTCTGGAGGAACGCGTGGTGGCGTGCACTAACGATGTGTTTCTTTTGTGGGGCCATGACAGAGCTTGTTATGAACATCTGACCCAAATTGATGGTGAAAAGTTGTGATGGAGCTAATACTCGGTTGAACAGGTTATCTGTATGCACAACCCCTTAGGTTACTTGCATTGCGAATTTGAGAAAAACTTGTAGAATGAGCAAAAAATTACTGGGTGCTATCTGAATGACAGCGTGGTCTTGAAATGTTGTTTCCTGTTGCTGTGTGATCATTATCCATGGTGGTAAACATCAGTTCTGATGATATACCGGTCATTACTAGCTTGGGCTATGCGTGTCACAAGGAAGATATCGGTGATCCCATTCAACATTGGGATGACCATGTTGATACGGCCGAGCAATATGCGTGTCACAGGTACTGCGGCGAGAACCCCTGGTCCGAAACGATCCTGGTTGTAGCCGGTTCTCTGTAACGAGCTGGAGAGGAGGGGAGCGGGAGCAGGTGAGGGAGAGACTTGGGGAGGAAGAAGAGATTGCTTCCGGAGGAAGGATTGGGATGAGTTGACAGTCTGTTACATCACATGCCTTGCCACAAGCGGCTGGCTGTCTATTTAAACACTCCCTCGATCTCACTCACGCACACTTACAGGCAGGGCCCGATCTTTGCCACGTCACACTGGACAAGTGGCGGACAAGTGGCCAGGTGTGACATTCTCCCCTCCTTGAGATCGAGCTCTGTCTTCAGGGCTGGCTTCTTTGTCTTCCAAGATGAGAGCTGCTGGAAAGCGTTGCCGTAGAGTGTCATAGTCCTCCCACGTAGTGGATGGCGTCGAGCTGTTCCCCCATTGCACCCTGATCTTTACGACTGGTGTGTTCCCTTCATCATGCGTCGCTTTAGGATGCGCGTGGGTGACGTGGTCGCCACAGACAGGTCGGGCACTCGTGGCAGCTCAACATACACCGGCATGTAATCCGGCGTGAACGGCTTCAGCTGCGAGACGTGGAAGACTGGGTGCACGCAGCTGGAGTCCGACAGGTCGAGCTTGTACGCCAAGAGCCCGATCTTCGCGATGACAGTGTAGGGCCCGAAGAACTTGTAGGCGAGCTTGGCGCATGGGCGGCTGACGACCGATTTCTGGACGTATGGTTGCAGTTTCAGGAGTACCTGCTCGCCCACCTGGAACTGGCGCTCGGTGCGGTTGCGATCGGCTTGTTTCTTGCAGCGCTGCTGGGCACGCGCCAGCTCGGCGCGGATGTGCGCTGTGTGCGCCGCCCAGTCCAGATCGTCGCCGATAGGAGCGTCATTCGGCCAAGCCGCCATTGCTCCCAAGTTGGCCTCCTTCCCGTATAGCGCCTTGAATGGAGTGCAATTGAGCGACGAGTGGAAGGTCGAGTTGTACCAGAACTCCGCCATGGGCAGCCAGCGACGCCATTTACTCAGGGTGTCGTGCACCGCGCATCGGAGATACATCTCCATGCACTGGTTCACGCGCTCGCTTTGCCCATCCGTCTGCGGGTGGTAGGCGGTGGAGTAGAGCAGCCGCGTGCGTGCGCCGGCGAGCAGCTCCCACCAGAGATTGCTGGTGAATACCTTGTCGCGGTCGGAGACGATCGAGGCGGGCACCCCGTGCAGCTTGACCACGTTGTCCCAAAACGCGTGCACCACCTGCATCACGTGGAAGGGGTGGCGAAGGGAAATGAAGTGGGCGAACTTGGTGAAGCGGTCCACCATGACAATGATCGTGTCAAAGCCCTCGGACGACGACAACCCCTCCACGAAATACATGGTATGGTCTTCCCAGGGCACGGATGGAATGGGCAGCGGCGCCAGGAGCCCGACCGGCTTGGTGTGTTCGTGCTTGGCCTGCTGGCAAGTCGCACACTGCTGCATGAACTCTTCGGTGTCCCGCTTGAGCCCGTGCCACTCGGAGTGCTTGCGCACTCGCTGATAGGTCACCGTGACGTCTGAGTGACCGCCGACCACGATGTTGTGGAGCGCGGCAATGAGCTTGGTGCGGAGCGCAGTGTTGGCGCCAATCCATAGGCGTCCACTGCGACGGATGACGTCGTGATGAAGCCCGTAGCCGTCGTCGTCAGGGCTGGTGATGGCGAGCTTCTACAGTCGATCTTGGGCGTCTGGGTCGGTGGAGTAGGAGTTGAGAACCTCCTGAATCCAAGCCGGCTAGCACGCCGAGAGCGCGGCCAGGTCAAGCTGCTTGCCGACGCGCAACAAGGCAATTGTCCAGTCCGCGCTTGTACTGGAAGCTGAATTGCAAGCCCACCAACTTTGCCATAGCCTTGCGTTGCAGCTCCGTCTCCAGATGTTGTTCGCCCAAATTGCAGAGGGACTTGTGGTCCGTGAGGATGTCGAAGGGGCCGCGCTGCAGGTACGGCCGCCATTTGTCGATGGCCATCACCACCACCAAGAATTCCTTCTCGTACGTCGAGAGTTGCTGGTTGCGCACGCCGAGGGCTTTGCTGAAGAAGGCGACCGGGTGGCCTTCCTGGACGAGCACCACGCCCACCCCTGTGTCGCACGTGTCCATCTCGATCGAGAAGGGTTTGTTGAAGTCGGGGAGCGCGAGCACTGGCGTGGTGATCATCGCCATCTTGAGCCGGTCGAACGCCGCCTGAGCTTGCTCCGTCCAAGTGAAGCCCTTCTTGGTGAGGAGTTGTGTCAGTGGTTTGGCGATGATGCCATAATGCGGAAAGAATTTTCTGTAGTAGCTGGCGAGGCCCAGAAACCCGCGCAGCTCGATGGCGTTCGTCGGCGTCGGCCATCGTTCCATGGCGTGCGTCTTCTCCTTGTCCGTGGCCACGCCCTCCTTGGAGATCACATGACCGAGGTATTCGATGTGGCCGCAGGCGAATGTGCACTTGGATTCCTTGACGTAGAGCTGGTGGGCACGGAGGATCTCGAAGACGATGCGCAGGTGCTCCAACTGCTCCTCCATGGTCTCACTAAAGATGAGAATGTCATCTAGAAAGATGATAACGAACTTGCGCAGATACTTACCAAAAATGGCGTTCATCAGGCACTAGAACATGGCCGACGCGTTGGTGAGGCCGAACGGCATGACCCTAAACTAAAAGTGTCCATGGTGCGTTTTGAACGCTGTCTTGTATTTGTCCTCCTCTCGCATCCTGATTTGATGGTAGCCGACACGTAGGTCCAGCTTGGAGAACACCGCAGCGCCAACCAGTTTGTCGAGCAACTCGTCAATGATGGGCAGAGGAAACTTGTTCTTGACGGTGGCGTCGTTGAGGCGGCGATAGTCGACACAAAACCGCCAGGTGTCATCCTTCTTCTTGACCAGCAGGACCGACGCAACGTATAGGCTTACACTGTGTGTGATCACCCCGGCGTCCAGCATCTCCTTGACCTGGCGCTCGATCTCGTCTTTCTAAAGCAGCGAGTAACGGTATGGGCGGGTGTTCGCGGGGACCGCGCCCTCTACCAGAGTAACAGCATGGTCGTACAAGCGGTGTGTAGGGAGCCCTTGCGGTGCCGCGACACACATCGGCGAACTCCTCGAGCAGATCGGCGAGTGGGGTTTGGCTTGGACACTTGCGAGCTGGGCGCGCCGCGTGCTCGCAGGTGTCCACCATGGCCATGGCCCAAACATCGTTCCCGGCGATCATCTTGCGCAGCTCATCGGGTGTGGCGGCTTTGAGAGTGGTGGCCGCCTTAGATGGCACGCCGCGTAGAGTGACTTCTTCGTCATCGTGCCGAAATTGCACCCACTTGTCTTGCCAGTGGCATGTCATTGGACTATGCTGGGCGAGCCAGTCCATCCCCAGAATGTCGTCATACGCGCCGATCTCCAGCTCGCGCATGGATGTCTCGAATGTGTGGCCCTGCATCCACCACATGAGCCCGGGCACCACGCGGTTGCAGGTGAGCTTGTCGCCATTGGCCACACGCACCTCCACTGTGGGCATCTCTTCGGTGGCAAGGCCGAGGCGGTCGACGAATGCTTTGTTGACGAAGCTGTGGGTGTTGCCCGAATCAAGCAGAAGTAACATAACTTGGTTTCCCACCAGCGCACGCAGGCGGATCGTGGTTGCCGAATCCATGCCGTCTAGTGCGTGCGACGAGAGGAGACAACATTCGGGCGCGTCCGCGACGGGGGCAGGCGGCTACGCTGCTGGTCTAGGGTCGTCGAGCAGCTGCAGGGTGTGGATGGTGTCATCGGAGAGTACCTTCCCATGATCACTGATGCTGATGGTGAGCAGCTGCGTGGGCTGGGTGCAGCGATGCTCTCTGGAGTAGCGGTCTCCGCACTTGAAGCATAAGTTGTTGGCATGGCGGTAGTCGCGGAGTTGCCGCTCACGCGCGTAGTTGTCCGTTGGAGCGCAGTTGGGCACGGCCACGCACGACGGTGGTGGAGTAGGAGTTGGTGGAGGTCGGCCCGCTGGCGTGATGCATGGGCGCGCACGCGTTGTGCCTAGTTCCTCCTCCTGAATGCGCGCCAACACGGATGCCCAGGTGATGCTCGAGGGCGCTTGTAGCCAAACCGGGGCGCGTAGCTCGTCCTTCAAGCCCAGGATGAACTGGGTGACGAAGAACTTGGTGTTGATGGCTGGTCGAGTGTGAGCAAGTGATACATTTGCTCGTCGAACGCCGCATGGTACTCGGCTATGGTGGTAGTCTGGCGGAGTTGCAACAGCTTGTGCATGATCACCTCGAACTCGTCGGCGCCGAACTCCTCCAGCATGGTTGATGTGAATAGTTCCCAGGTGATGCCACAATGTGTTTGACGAAATGCTTGCAGCCAGTGCGCATCCTGGTCTTCGATGTACAGAGCCGTGGTGGCCACCCACTTGTGTGGCTTGACCTTGTAGAGCTCGAAGTACGCCACACAGTGATCCAGCCACAAGTACGGAACAGAGCCGTTGAACCGAGGAAAATCGTGCTTCGCTGGCTTGTGGTAGTCGTTGCCGTGGTAGCCTGATGCTGGAGAGGGGACGACGGCCGGAGAGGCGAATCCGCCCTGAGGAGCCACTGGAATCAGTGGGGACGATGGTCTCCAAGGCGCGTGTGGGCGGACGCAGGGCGGCCTGGGTCGGTGGCCACGTGCGGCGAGTGTGGAGGCGGTGGTGGCGGTTGTTGCGGTGCGGCGGGCTGGTGAAGCACGGTCCTGACCGAGCCCGATGGTGATGCCGAGCCCTCCACCGTCTT